TGTGCCCCTCAGTATCTGTGCCTGCCATCTTCCCGCTCCTGCTGCTGCCAAGGCCCCCCACCTGACCTCCAGCGGGTTCCTGGGTGGCCCCTGGACTCCCCTGGCTCCTCAGACCGACCTGTCCACTCTCTTCACACCCCTACCCTCCCAGTTTGCGCTTGGGCTCAGCCCCTGTCCCTCAGTATCTGTGCCTGCCATCTTCCCGCTCCTGCTGCTGCCAAGGCCCCCCACCTGACCTCCAGCGGGTTCCTGGGTGGCCCCTGGACTCCCCTGGCTCCTCAGACCGACCTGTCCACTCTCTTCACATTCCCCTACCCTCCCCCACATTCCTTCCCGGCCTCAATGGCGCCCCCCTGGAAGAGCAAGGTTCTGACCCAGTGACTGGAAGCCACTGACAAGAAGGGAAAGTTAGGGTCTTTGCTTTCAGAGAGGGAAGGGGCTTCTAAGCCTGATTTCCAGTGGGTTACGTTTATTTCAAAATCAACAGAAGTCCCAAGTGGGTCAGAGTGTGCGTTCGGGTAACCTTAGCCCCTGTCACGTATCACGCAGGGTGTGGAGTGCTTGTAAAACACGTTATTTCCTAAAAGCTCCAGTAAATGTATGGCAGGCAGGGGTTTTCTCACTGGATAGAGAAGGAGATGGAGGTTTAGAGGGTGTGGAAGGTACGGCTTATAAGAGCTGTGCAGACTAGCCAGGAATCCAGGGCGTCCGTACCCCAAGTACCCCAGGTCAGCTTCCCACGGCTCAGAAGCCCCTGCAATCCTGGCATTCTAAAGCAGCGGTTCTCAACCTGTGGGTCACGACCCCTTTGGCGGTCGAACGACCCTTTCACAGGGGTCGCCTAAGACCATCCTGCATATCAGATATTTACATGACGATTCATCACAGTAGCAACATGACAGTGATGAAGTAGCAACGAAAATAATGTTATGGTTGGGTCACCACATGAGGAACTGTATTTAAAGGGCCAGGAGGTTGACAACCACAGGTCTAACGGGACCACGTCCCCATCAAGTACCAATTCCCTCAGAAAGCCTTTCCTGT